TCAGTTATGTAGTAGTAGCGGCAGTATCTCATTATTATCATTGTGATAACGTAGAGGATACTATCATATCATTTTCATCTGATAAAATTTGGACTGAATTATTAAATCGTTTAACCTGTAACCAGAGGTCATTACTCCTCACTCCCTTCCAACATCCAGCCCTATCCCCACCAACATCTACACACAGGCCCCACCCCTTCCAACATCCAGCCCTATCCCCACCAACATCTACACACAGGCCCCACCCCTTCCAACATCCAGCCCTATCCCCACCAACATCTACACACAGGCCCCACCCCTTCCAACATCCAGCCCTATCCCCACCAACATCTACACACAGGCCCCACCCCTTCCAACATCCAGCCCTATCCCCACCAACATCTACACACAGGCCCCACCCCTTCCAACATCCAGCCCTATCCCCACCAACATCTACACACAGGCCCCACCCCTTCCAACATCCAGCCCTATCCCCACCAACATCTACACACAGGCCCCGCCCCTTCCAACATCCAGCCCTATCCCCACCTACATCTACACAAAGGCCCCACCCCTTCCAACATCCAGCCCTATCCCCACCTACACCTACACAAAGGCCCCACCACTTCCAACATCCAGCCCTATCCCCACCTACATCTACACAAAGGCCCCACCCCTTCCAACATCCAGCCCTATCCCCACCTTACTTCACACAGGCCACACCCTTACCAACATTCAGCCCTATCCCCACCTAACTCTACACACGGGCCACACCCCCCCCCCTCCCCTCCAACGTCCATCCCTATCCCAACCTAACTCTATAGCAACACCTATACCACCAAAACTTCAGCAATAAATTCCCTCACATTCCCAACACTCGAGCCAGTCCTAGCCTTTGGGTATTATCTCCCTTCCAATCAATGCCCCACGATAAGTAATCCAAATAGATTTTCAAACTGCTGCCTGGTTAATAAGCTTTGATAGTCTCCCTTGCAGTGGTCTATAAAGGGCAACCGGCGGGACCAGTACGCTAACTTCAAGCAGTGTCCTCTGGTCTAGAATTTTCCAGCTTTTATTACCCCCGTCCATGATTGATATCGATCTTTACGTTAGCCTCACCCCCACCCCCTACCCCGCCACCCAGTACATTTGTAAAAGACCTATATAAATCGTGTCGGAAACGTTGGTTAGTTTTGAAAAATAGTCTCGCGGGTGCTGCTATTTTTATACACCCAAGATTTATCAGTACATTTAAAAAACAATTTTGTGCATTGACGTATTAAACGCAATTTTCGGAATTTAAATTATTGTATTTAAAAGTAGTTAGAATATAAGATTCGATTTTACATAGACGCATACTTTTGAATTTTATAGAATTATTTTGTTTGCTTTTAGCATTGGTGATGACGTCACTCGGAACACAAACATTTTTAAAGCCCTTTTGTCATAATTACCTTTCCATGTTCAGGTGAAATACAAAATGTGCTAAACGTGCATGAGATCAGTGCCTCTACACTCAAGTGGAGATAATCGACTACTTTTTTTCGTTGTTGTTCTGGGCCAAATCCATCACTGCCTGGTTATAACCAACCCAAGTTCCCCTGGGTCATATCGAATCTACATTGAGGGAAAATATACGCTACAATTCGTCTTAGTCCTGCCCCGTGTTAAGCCTAGCCCTACATTCGGTCTGGCTCCATTTAGCATAGTTTCTCATTCATTCAAGCTCAACATTTAGATAAGATTCTCATCCACGTTAACTTAGCTCAACATATAACCTAACTGCACATTGAAACTACTTTCTTATTCAACATTTCTTAAATTCACATCCAGACTAGCTCAATATTTAGCCTATCTCAACATTTAGCCTACCTCTAAATTTATCCTTTTTCCTAATTTAACCTAGCTCCAAATGTATCCTTGCTCCTAATTTAGCCTAGCTTCACATTAATCATAGCTTCACATTTAGCCTAGCTTCACATTTAGCCTAGCTTTACATTTAGCCTAGCTTCACATTTAGCCTAGCTTCACATTTAGCCTAGCTTCACATTTAGCCTAGCTTCACATTTAGCCTAGCTTCACATTTAGCCTAGCTTCACATTTAGCCTAGCTTCACATTTAGCCTAGCTTCACATTTAGCCTAGCTTCACATTTAGCCTAGCTTCACATTTAGCCTAGCTTCACATTTAGCCTAGCTTCACATTTAGCCTAGCTTTTCATTCAAGCTACACATAAACTTTCGTAATCAATAGTCACAATACTTTTGTAGCCAACAATAGTCACAATACTTTTTGTAGCCAACAATAGTCACAATACTGTCTGTCGTCAACAATAGTCACAATACTGTCTGTCGTCAACAATAGTCACAATACTGTCTATCGTCAACAGTAGAACAAAATTGGCCTGTGCTTAGCTCCGAGCTAAACGTCTGGAATAGTGATTGTAGTTATTTCCAAACCGGAGTGTTTTGTTGTCCTGAACCGGAAGAATTTTTTCGCCCTAACCGGCAATGTTTGTCATCTAAACCGGCACTGTTTTGTCGTCCTAACCGGTATTGTTTTGTCGTCCTAACCGGCAATGTTTGTCATCTAAACCGGCACTGCTTTGTCGTCCTAACCGGCACTGTTTTGTCGTCCTAACCGGCACAGTTTTGTCGTCCTAACCGGCAGTCTTTAATTGTCCTAACCGGCAGTGTTTTTTTCGTCGTCCTAACCGGCAGTCTTTAATTGTCCTAACCGGCAGTGTTTTGTCGTCCTAACCGGCAGTGTTTTGTCGTCCTAACCGGTATTGTTTTGTCGTCCTAACCGGTAGTGTTTTGTCGTCCTAACCGGCAAGGTTCTATTGCACAACACCAGGAAGCTTCGAGTGCCTATAAATGTTGGCCAGGTAATAGAAAGTTTTTACGGTGTATTTTCCTCTATCAATGTTGATAGTTCAGTTCTATTGTTGTCAGTTTATTGCTAATAAAATACGTCACTAAAAAGCCAGGGAAAACATTTTCCAAGAATGGATGCGATTATACCCACTTTTCTAGGGGGATTTTTATAGAAACTTTAGAAACAGCTGATTTCGATGACGTCATGTTCTTTGCCTACAGCAAACAGATAATGGTAGTATTTTGTGAATTTGTCGTCTGCTAAATAAAATAGGTATGCTTGTACTGACTGACTACTAACCAATGTTTCGGTTGCTGGGTTAGTAAATGACAGACAGATTAGTAAACAACCAAACACGTGACTGACGTGTATTTTATCCCCATTTAGTCCAATTTTGTGAAGGGTTTAATTATAGCTTTAACCGGTGTAAATGTGTCTTGGTTTCGTAAGGTCCATCTGTATTTCGTTAAAAATGTGCGTTGAAAAAGGGAGTTTTATTTTGTTTACGAAAAAAGGAAAGCTGGTCATTATGTTGCCCTGAAATGATTTGCCATACACCAGCCCCTCCCTCTCCTTGAAAGCTTTTTGTGGCGCTATTAAAATACAATCTGTCTCTCTCAAAGTAGGGATGTGTTCATTTGAGAACAGAGGGGAGACAGGGTTGGGGATGTGTTCATTGGAGAACAGAGGGGAGACAGGGTTGGGGATGTGTTCATTTGAGAACAGAGGGGAGGCAGGATAGGGGATGTGTTCATTTGAGAACAGAGGGGAGACAGGGTAGGGGATGTGTTCATTGGAGAACAGAGGGGAGACAGGGTGGGGGATGTGTTTATTGGAGATCATAGGGTAGAGAGGGTGGGGAATGTGTTCATTGGAGAACAGAGGGGAGACAGGGTGGGGATGTGTTCATTTGAGAACAGAGGGGAGACAGGGTGGGGGATGTGTTCAAATCAGAGGGGCGACAGTGTGTATAAATATTTTATTAGATTGCTGTTATAGCTGTTTTATTTAAACAAAAAGTAAAATTGGATAAAAAAGACGGTAAAATTCCGGTCTAGATAATAAAACAAAGCAATCCAGGCAGATTCGACTGTGCAATATTTCAAGGACTTAAAAAATCCACAAACTTCCAAATATATTTCCAAGATAAGTATATCTGACTCACATAAATGACCTTAAGTGTTAACACGTCAGGAATAATGAATGAGTTCAAGCACAGTTTATCTACATGTTGGGCAAGTTTTTGTTTACTTTTATTGCCCCACTTTAGCCAGTGATGCATTAGATTTCTAAACGGGCTGATGCTGATGCGGCAATTCCCGAATTTAAAATGTGTTTTGAGTAGCTACTTGGCACACGACTGGAATAAAGAGAGGACTAGATGGAGCTATAAATTATAAACCAAGAAACAAGGTAGAAACACCAGACGACACAAGAGAGCGTCCAAAAATAAAGGTGATTTATAATTTATAACGCCTCAGGAATGACAGAGTAGCCAATCTTGTCAGTTGTTCACTTTTTTTTAGGTTTAGTGACATTTCTATTTCGAGCTAAAGTATAAAAATAAAACCTCAGACAATAACAAGAAATAAAACATGAGTCCTGGACCAAAATATCTGGTTACATAGGAAAGATACAAGATAGATGATCTAGAAGCTTTAGGGTTGGCAAGACAATTCAGTAGTTCTTTAGTCTATATTATCAAGGTTTGAGTCCATATGATTAGTGATATGTTAAGATATAATTGAAAATATGGGTATATTCATATGTGGACTAGCTATGCCCAATAGGCCCGGTTAATTTTAAAAGGGCCCCCAACCCAAGATTGAACATTTCTTTTCAATGTGCATTTTTTTCTCCATCAAAACCTGATTTTATGCATTGGTATGAAGGAATGGTGAAACGGTGAAATACCAACACTTTTTAAAAAAGAAAACACTAATAGGGCTATTTATGCGCCGTTCTAGGGGGCCTACAGAGATATTCTCTTGGGGGCCCTGTAGACGGCAGACCAGTCCACCCCTGGATCTATTTATAGAGTATGGTTAAGGCAAGGGTTTTTCCTTAAGTTAGAGATATGAGCCAAAACAGATCTTCCATAACTCCCTGCCGGAAATGATGGAATCACGTTTGACCTTGACCTACCTTCTCATTGTACTGGCGCCTGGACGTGTCGAAGGAGTGGATGAGGGCCGTGGTGTGGGCCAGGAAGAGGGCGTAGCAGGTGGCGCCACTCAGCATGCTCAGGATGGTCAGCCAGGTGTCCGTCATGTTCTGGGGCGGGAACCGACCGTAGCCGATACACAGCATGTGGGACAGGGCCTTGAACAGCGCGAACGTGTACTGCTCAGCCCAGTGGGCCTTCTGTGGAGGGCAATCACAGACACGGTCAGAACCATCATCACACAACACACTCTTAACGACAACACATAGTCATGGACAGACACGGTCAGAACCAACATCACACACAACACATTCTTATACACAACAGGCAGTCATGGACAGACACGGTCAGAACCAACATCACACACAACACATTCTTATACACAACAGGCAGTCATGGACAGACACGGTCAGAACCAACATCACACACAACACATTCTTAACGACAACACATAGTCATGGGCGCTGGAAGAATAATTTGTTGCAGTCAACCAAGATAGGGCGTTAGGTAATTTAAAACTGAAGTTCAGTTTTGAAGTGTTCAATTTCTTTCAATCTGTAGGTCTTTTGGTATTTAAGTAATTCCAAGGCTGGCTTCTGTAGCCAACTACATGACATACACTTCTAGCGCCCATAATAGCATAGAAATAAATAAATAAATATATGCATATACATGTTTCTATAAATATATAATATTATATAACATTTAATTATAGTACGTAAAATACTAAACACCTAAATAATTACATAAGCATAATTGCTTTTATATATATATATATATATATATATATATATATATATATATATATATATATATATATATATACATATATATATATATATATATATATATATATATATATATATATATATATATATATGTGTGTGTGTAAATGGAGAGGGAATGGACAAAGAGATAAGGAGATTGTATGACACCCAATTATCAACAAAATATTTTAAGAAGTTGTTGAACACACAGAAGTTTTAAAACAGAGCAATGAGAAAAAAAAATTGATTTATAATCATCCATTTTTCTACTGGTTTATGTTATGCTAGGTATAAGAAAACATTTAGAAATACAAATTGTATATACTACACTAAATTAGCTTAGCTTAATTATTACTTCAAATCATGATTTCAAAAGAAAACAAAAAAATCGCACTTATTTTTCAAATTTTTAACGAGTAATTAAAGTACGAATCAACAATAATCTAATGAAGTTATTCAATGTAACCTTTAACCTTGCACTATAAACAAAACCCAAGTTTACGCGTGTATTTGATGAACAGAAAGGTGATTTGAGGATTCAAAGAAATTTATACCACAGGTAAACACATGGGAGATGTGTACTGGCCATTAGAGTAAGGTTATTTTAAAACTAATTGAAACATTGAAATGTGCAAGCCAGTCGTGTATTTTTTTTTCTCGCCTCGCTCGTTTCGCGTGATTTGAATGGGAAATCGATAGTCGCTGCACTCTCATCAGGACTTTAGCATGTTGCAGGGGATGGCTAGACCAACACAGTGGTGGGCTGATTTGTGTGTAGGTGGTGGTCCATGGGAGGGCTAGACCAACACAGTGGTGGGCTGGTGTGTGTGGTCTGTAGGTGGTGGTCCATGGGAGGGCTGGACCATCACAGTGGTGGGCTGATGTGTGTGGTCTGTAGGTGGTCCATGGGAGGGCTGGACCAACAGTGGGCTGGTGTGTGTGGTCTGTGGGTGGTGGTCCATGGGAGGGCTGGACCAACACAGTGGTGGGCTGGTGTGTGTGGTCTGTGGGTGGTGGTCCATGGGAGGGCTGGACCAACACAGTGGTGGGCTGGTGTGTGTGGTCTGTGGGTGGTGGTCCATGGGAGGGCTGGACCAACACAGTGGTGGGCTGGTGTGTGTGGTCTGTGGGTGGTGGTCCATGGGAGGGCTGGACCATCACAGTGGTGGGCTGGTGTGGGGTCTGTAGGTGGTGGTCCATGGGAGGGCTGGACCAACACAGTGGTGGGCTGGTGTGTGTGGTCTGTGGGTGGTGGTCCATGGGAGGGCTGGACCATCACAGTGGTGGGCTGATGTGTGTGGTCTGTGGGTGGTGGTCCATGGGAGGGCTGGACCAACACAGTGGTGGGCTGGTGTGTGTGGTCTGTAGGTGGTGGTCCATGGGAGGGCTGGACCAACACAGTGGTGGGCTGATGTGTGTGGTCTGTAGGTGGTGGTCCATGGGAGGGCTGGACCAACACAGTGGTGGGCTGATGTGTGTGGTCTGTAGGTGGTGGTCCATGGGAGGGCTGGACCAACACAGTGGTGGGCTGATGTGTGTGGTCTGTGGAACGGACTGTGTCTTGTGCTTTGTGGAAGCGTGACTGTGTGTGTGTGTTTAGTGATGGTGTTGTGTCTGTGTTGTGGTAGTGTGACTTCGTGTGTGATGTCTGTTTTATTAGTCGTATGACAGTGTGTGCGGGCTCTAAAATTTGTGGTAGTGTTATTGTGTGTGTGTTGTATTGTGATTGTGTGTGGTGGGTAGTTATTAGCTAGATGTACCTGTGTGGTGGATAGATAAGGTTCCTGCCTAGTGTGGGATGGTTGCAACTATACAGTCTGTCTATACATCCGAGTATAAACCTGAGTCGGGTTGTGTTTCTGTCTACAGGGTTGGATCATCCATCAATCGATATAATCAAGTTCACAGAATGTTTCACAGATATTTATAAAGGGGGCGCCGTGCTTGTTCTTTTGGGTAGATATTTCTAGAGAGGGCGCCAAAATGTAGGAGTGCACCCCTCCCCATGGAGGTTATCTGGTCCTGAATTTGTACGTAAGTTTGTATGTATGTATGTGTGTATGTATGTGTGTGTGTGTGTGTGTGTGTGTGTGGGTGTAAAGGTAACAAGGAGTGTGTTTGTGTTGGTGTGGGTGTGGGTTGGGTATGGAGGGAGGGAGGGAGGGGGGGCGTTTAGTAACGCCTGGATCTGGGGAAACTCCTGTGTGTTCAACATCTAGTCAAAGAACGTGTCTATCCCATTAAACAAAGTTTTATTCCAGCAGAATAAAAAAAAATTTAAAATTTCTCTACCGTTTTAATTATATTAGGTTTGGTCACACTGTTATCGTCTACCTCTAAAGCATGGCCTATCTTTATACAAGTTGCATAATTTACGTTATATCTAATCACAAGCTTTTATATACATTACTTAATTGCAAAAGTAATTGAATGAAATTGAAATGTCAAAGAAACGAAACAACACAAAAGCAAACATTCACTGGCTACGCTGAAGCGATAAAGTAAAATAAAGAAAGGACAATGAGAGAGTTGAAAGCGAGTTACTCAACAACAAGGGGCCATAATAGAGAAGACACAGAACGTACCTTGTTACTTGTCTCCCCTGTAGGTAATCTTCCCTTTAAACTTAACTTATTTAAAAAAAATGTATTGCAATTAACTCTACTCCTTACTGTATGGATTAAAAGATTATAGACACAAAATCTAGCAAGCTAGCGAAACGATTTCTTAACTCGCCACTAACTAAGTGAAGCTAGTCTATTCTATACGTACCATTTGCAGATTTAGGCAAGGATTAGGTGTCTAAGCTTTGTTATATTAGAACTAGCCGTACATAAATTATTGAGCGTTTAGTGATGAATGTGTATCTCTGTCTCTGAACAAATACGTACCTTCAACCCTTCAGTCGAGACCCAGCAATCGGTGGGAAAGTCTTGGATGAGAGGCACAAGAAACTGGAGGCAACCGTTCCAGTGACCGATGAGCAACATGAGGCATATATGGTTGAAGATTCTCATAAACTTGCCTGCTAGAGCTAGAAACTGCGAGATTAAGAGAAGCGAGCAGGGGGTCAAGGGGGGTGAAAAAAAACACACAACGTTACAGAGAGGAGAGAAAGTTCGTGGAGAAGACGGGGGCGGGTACCATCCAGGGGGGGTATGATCACGTGCCTCACCTTGAGCTCTTCTATAGCTACCCAGCAGTCGTTGGGGTAGTCCTGGATCATGGGGATCAAGAACTGCAGGCAGCCGTTCCAGTGTCCCAGCAGGAACATGAGGCAAATCAGGTTGAAGATCCGCATGAACTTGCCGGCAAAGGATAGAAACTGAAGGAAACAGCACAGACTAGCAATGCTAATCTTCATTACATGGGACATAGGGCGAACCTACGTCAGGTTGGGTACACTTTGGTGATGGCGGGGTCACGTGGTTATACCAGTGATGTGGCTACATGGTTACACAAATCACGTGGTCACATGGTCAGTATCTCTGGGCTCAGGGGATCAGATCTCCAAGGTCATACATGGCGAACTAGGGCAGATTTTTTAGTGGCACATGACGTGGTTCTGTTGAAGTAGAGCTACACACGCGTTTGGTTGTTCACTCACACGTTTGGCACAGTACCAAAGTACAGATCAACTTGGCACAGTGCCAAGGTACAGATACTCTTGGCACAGTACCAAAGTACAGATGTGCTTGGCACAGTACCAAAGTACAGATCCGTTTGGCACAGTACCAAAGTACAGATATGCTTGGCACAGTACCAAAGTACAGATCCGCTTGGCAGAGTACTAAAGTACAAATCCGCTTGGTACAGTACCAAAGTACAGATGTGCTTGGCACAGTACCAAAGTACAGATCCGTTTGGCACAGTACCAAAGTACAGATATGCTTGGCACAGTACCAAAGTACAGATCCGCTTGGCAGAGTACTAAAGTACAAATCCGTTTGGCACAGTACCAAAGTACAGATGTGCTTGGCACAGTACCAAAGTACAAATCTGCTTGGTGGGAAAACCGGACAAGATGAATATCTATTCCTGACAAAATTGTGATGAGAATTCTTACATAGATCTAGTATGTGATCAGAGTAAACACATTATTTCTGCAAAAAAAAAAAAGCTTAAAGCGAATATCGTAATATATACAAATATATACCAATATTTGCGTAAACGATCTGTTTTCAATAGTGAATGCCTCTTAAACTACGTCTGAAAACTAATCATATTTTTAATATACGTTGTATTTGAGTATTAAGGTTTATTTTACATAACCCGGAAAATAATTTTATGTCCGGGTTTTCCACCAGCGGTCTAAAACTTCACTGAAAACTGGATTTTTTGTTGGTCCAAATTAAACCTATCCTAACTAATGTCTGACCATGAAATACACCGTCATCTTCCATAGACTGACCACATCATCATACAGTCATGAACAAACTTATGTTAGACCTGACGTGACTAAATTCATTCGCTGCACTATAGTGAAGGACATTGACCCTTGGTCAGCCAATCTTGATGAGTGTCGTCACACGTCACCAGGTCAGGTGACTCTGACGTCATGGAGAATATCGACTTGTAAAAACAGTGTCTTCTGCTCATTCAGTGTATCGATACCAGAATTGTTTCCTTCCTCGATACATCTCTCGATCCTACATCATAATTTCTTCAAACATTTTTTCCTTCAATCATTTTTCTTCAATCATTTTTCTTCAATCATTTTTCTTCAATAATATTTCTTCCTTCTTTTTTCTTCAACCATTTTTCTTCCATCATTTTTCATCAATCACTGCTTTCTTCACTCTTAATCTTCAGGTAACAACTTAGCCTAACACGCTTGATATTGCGTTTCATATTTTATAACAAAACTACCATCACGTCTTTCTTTACCACATTCAGTGAAGCATGAAGCATTCACCAGCTTATTTATTCTATAGCGCTCCAATTTTTTGATGATTCTATACTGATTTGGTACCTAATAATTCTTAAAGACGACATGGTACTCTGTGAGAGTTGCTTGCTGAGCTACGTTTTTGGCTTTGTTTTTAGCTGTCTTTCGGCTTGGTGGCTAGACCTCGGGAAAAGCGTTTTGTTTGGTTGAAGAAATAATTTTGTTTGGCTGAAGAAATAGTTTTGTTTGGCTGAAGAAATAGTTTTGTTTGGCTGAAGAAATAGTTTTGTTTGGCTGAAGAAATAGTTTTGTTTGGCTGAAGAAATAGTTTTGTTTGGCTGAAGAAATAGTTTTGTTTGGTTGAAGAAATCGTTTTGTTTGGCTGAAGAAATAGTTTTGTTTGGTTGAAGAAATCGTTTTGTTTGGCTGAAGAAATAGTTTTGTTTGGTTGAAGAAATCGTTTTGTTTGGCTGAAGAAATAGTTTTGTTTGCTCCAATCGACTTGACGACTTGCTGGAGAACTCTTCAATGTCTGATTCCATTGCCAGAGCGCCGAGAACATAACCTCGTATGGCCTAGAAGCTGCACAGCAACATCTGATGTCTTTAATTCACCAGCAGTAACAAATTACCCAGTAACTATTGCATAGCCGGAATATCTTTCCGTAGCCAATATAACAGATTATAGTTTACGTAACAGATCTAGTCCCTGATTATAGACCATATAACTGTTTCTAGCCAATTTAAATAATCAATCATTTGACCAATTAATCAATCTAGCCACAACAAATTCTGTACTTAAAGGTACACAACTCACATAAACCTGCCTAACCCCCTCCCACCCTCCGGTATAACGTCATCTACGTAATCTATCTATACAACATCCCTACAACCAGCTATTATGGCCCACAAAATACACCCCACACAACACGTCTCACTTAAGACTACACAACACCCCCTACAACCCGATATTACCTGGCCCATATACTTTAACCCAAGTATTTACCCCCCCCCCCTCAACCTACCCCCTCACACCTTCCCACATATATAATATAAGAGACATTAATCTCTTCCCACTGTGGGACGTATCTGGAAACAACCCCCCACACCCCCACACACACCCCACACAAAAGACAAGAGAACCCACCTCTTCCCACTGCTGAACGTATCTGACCAGCCATGATGTCCCCCCCCCCCACACACACACCCACACACAAAAGACAGCAGAACCCACCTCTTCCCACTGCTGGACGTATCTGACCAGCCTGGACAACCCCCCACACACACCCCGCCCACACACAAAAGACAGCAGAACCCACCTCTTCCCACTGCTGCACGTATCTGACCAACCTGGACACCCCCCCACACACACACCCACACCCCCCCCCCCCACACTCACAAAAGACAGGAGAACCCACCTCTTCCCACTGCTGCACGTATCTGACCAGCCTCGACAACCACCCCCCCCCCACAACCTCCCACACACCCCCCCACACAAAAGACAGTAGAACCCACCTCTTCCCACTGCTGCACGTATCTGACCAGCCTGGACAACCTCAGCAGACGTAACAAACTCAGCAGCTTGGCCAGACGTAAGATTCTCAGGGCACGCCCTGCAGAGCAAAAAAATTACACGACCGTCATTGGTCCATCCATGTTCAGCTGACTCATGACGTCATTTTCTCTAACTAATTTTATTTTTAGCTAAAGATATAAGCTTAAAAATTGACATATTAAATTAAAATGAAATTTAAAATGAATCTTTAAAAAATCGTTAACTAAAAATATTAAAATATAGAGGAATTGTTAATTTTGTAAAAAGAAAATTAGTGCGATATAAAAATCATGTGCAAGGATAAAATAATATAACATGTACATTTAATATTGTTTACGTTATAGATCCACATTGCGGATAACATATAATATAACAAATAAGTAACTTATGTATATATATATATATATATATATATATATATATATATATATATATATATATATATATATATATATATATATGAAATATTCTGTAACAACTAAAGGATCTCAGTAACTTGAGGTCCCTGGATACATGCATATCTTAGTAGAATTGTGATGTTTTGTGTACTTTTTGTACTTACATTTGTTTAGCTTTTGTTACAGAATAAATCATTCAGACATTTAGAGTAAAATCGTTATTTGAGGTGCAAACACGAAATAATAAAATAACATAAAAAGTAAAGCAAATAGTAGTAGGGTTGTAGCACATCATGCAACATCGACCATCACATGCAAACTAAATATAGACATTTTATTAGTATTTGTCAATGATAGTAATGGAGGCGATGTAAACGCGAGACAAACTAGTTTTTGTGCTTGACACTGTGCGAGACAGGAAGTTGCTTCTACTCGTATGCTCTTAGATCTATTTTATTAATTGAGAATTATTTAACTCGCATTTCCGTCACCTTGGTAATTTAATTTTCTGTTGCCGTAGTTTCGTAGAATGAAATACTTAAAAATCGATGGATTTTCATTTACTAAGGCTCAGTAATTAAATATTGATTTTTTAAATATGGATTTAAAAAAACATATTTTTTTTATCATTTGAAGTTTAAACATAGTTTAATACTAGCAAAACCTAAGTAATCTAAACATAGAAAGAAAAAAACGACTAGTATTAAAAGATTAATCTTTGAATTAACTTGTGTTTGTAATTTAGTTGATAAAATTAATGCAGATTTTAGGTTTTTTGGTTAATAAAAGAGTTAATCAACTTTAAGTAACAAAACTAAAATAAAATAGAAATCACAGCAAATGTTTTATTATTCTACTCTATGCCTAGTAGTTCTATTCTTAAAAGGGAGCTAACTCTAGAGTAAAGTTGTCTATCGTGCTGGGGGCAGGGGTGATCTAACGCCATCTATGGTTTCCATCTAGACACATTGACTAGTGGGACGTTAGTGCGGGGGTTGGGGGGTGTGGGGGGACGGGGTCTGTACAAAAACGTGTTACATTAGACTCACACAGTCGTCTTATCTGCATGGTGATCATTCTTCAGTGCCTCGTGTGAGTAGGTTAGTGGCACCCGGCTTGTGTGTGTGTGCGTGTTGTAGTGAGTAGATTAGTGGCACCCAACTTGTGTGTGTGTGCGTGTGTGTGTGTGTGGGGGGGGTATTGTAGTTTGTATTTTTTTTGGGTTTAAATTAGTTTATTTCACTTTCGTTAAGCCAGTTTGACATATTATGAAAGCAATAATTTTAAAACTGGAATTGGAAACTAAAAAAAAAAAGATTCGTTGCTTACAAAATGAAACAACTTCAAAATCTTCAGGACAAAATAACTCAAGATTAAAGATCGCAAGTCAACATGTTTCATTTAAAACATATAGGCCTAAATAGGAAATACATATTTTTAAGCATTTATCCATGTAATTTGCATAGCTGTAAACACAGAAAGTTGTTACTTTAAAAAAAAAATGTACCGCCCGTTTGTTTAAAACCGCGACGGGAAATTCGACTAGTTTTCCAGATGATGTTTTACTTTTAGCACAAGATGGGTTTAACAGCAAGATAGTCTGAGAATGTTTAGTCAAAACTAAGGGGATTTAACGGTGCTACTGTATTTATGGGGCTCAATACAGTATTGACCGTTTTACACATCAACGCAGTAGTGTCCGTTTTATACGTCAACACAGTAGTGTCAGTTTTATACGTCAACACAGTAGTGTCAGTTTTATACGTTAACACAGTATTTACAATCATTACACCCCAGTCCATGGCTAGATCATAGTCCTTGTTGATGACAATTATTACATCATAATCCCCATGTTAATGTAAGCCAGCATTACGAAACTTTAATCCATCACCTCTATTTCATCACAACCCCCATTAATGATAATCTCTACAAGACGAACATCTAACTAAACCTTGTCTCAGGCTAAAGTAACCTTTAACCCTCTCTAAACCTTGTCTCAGGCTAAAGTAACCTTTGACCCTCTCTAAACCTTGTCTCAGGCTAAAGTAACCTTTAACCCTCTCTAAACCTTGTCTCAGGCTAAAGTAACCTTTGACCCTCTCTAAACCTTGTCTCAGGCTAAAGTAACCTTTAACCCTCTCTAAACCTTGTCTCAGGCTAAAGTAACCTTTAACCCTCTCTAAACCTTGTCTCAGACTAAAGTAACATTTAACTCTCTCTAAACCTTGTCTCAGACTAAAGTAACCTTTAACTCTCTCTCTAAACCTTGTCTCAGACTAAAGTAACCTTTAACTCTCTCTAAACCTTGTCTCAGGCTAAAGTAACCTTTAACTCTCTCTACTACTAATATGTTTTTTTTTTACTGCTACTTCCGTCAAGGCTGTGTCTCATTTGACAACTTAATGAAGATATATTTGTTTTGTAACGAATTGAGTTAATGCTGATGAATGGTTGGATGAATTAATTAATACCTTAAATTGCGAAACTTAATTACAGTTTATCAGCTACTGATTAACAATCTTTTAAGTCCCCAACAAAAAAAAAATGTAATTGTATTTTTTACAAAACAAAATATTTTTTATGACAGTTGGATTATAAGGCGAATTCTTTTATCAAGGTCACAGTGTAGGGATTTAATTTTGTGAACTGTAAACGGAAACGTATATAGATCGAAATTGAATAATTTTACAGAGCAAAGTTAAATGAAAACAAATCACCACATACGGTGAATTAAAAACAAAAAATTCGTTTTCAAAAAGTAATCAAACCATGCCGTCTCCATCTATTCTGGTTACCATAGCAACAGTTCAGGTTCATAATGTTTTAATTATTTTTATCGATGATTTCAAGAGAAATACTTCCCATGTGGTACATCTAGCCGGGGGTCAAATCTTCAGATTTCCATCAAGTTGTTTTACCGACAGTTTCAAAATGAAAGTGAAAAATTGAGGCAAGTTGGTATTTACCCATTTCAAAAAACTTAGTAGGTACTTCACTGTTTTACATGCACGTTAGAATAGATAGACAGTTTTAGAAGTCGAACAATGAGTGGGTGTCAGCAAGTTCAGAGTCTGACACTACTGACTGATAATGTAGGTCGAAGGTCAAAGATCTTATTTATTGAATGTCAAGGCCAATAATACTTGATAAACAAGGCCATTAAAATAGGGAAAAATGCTCTCATTAGACGAAAAATTAGTCATATGTGATGAAAATTAAGTCGATATTTTAATGGTCAAGTCCATCTTTTGATGTAGATAAAGTTGTATAAACATTAATGAAAATCGAAGTAATGATTTTCTTAAATCTAAATTCATTATTGTTAAACTTGAGTGCCATCGTTGAAAGCTAACTCGACGCAATCATTACATATAACCTAAGTTAACTCGACGCCATCATTACACATAACCTAAGCTAACTCGACGCCATCGTTACATATAACCCAAGCTAACTCGACGCCATCATTACATATAACCTAAGCTAACTCGACGCCATCATTAAACATAACTTAAGCTAACTCGACGCCATCATTACATATAACCTAAGCTAACTCGACGCCATCATTAAACATAACCTAAGCTAACTCGACGCCATCGTTACATATAACCCAAGCTAACTCGACGCCATCATTACATTTAACCTAAGCTAACTCGCCGCCATCATTACATATAACCTAAGCTAACTTGACGCCATCATTAAACATAACTTAAGCTAACTCGACGCCATCATTAAACATAACTTAAGCTAACACGACGCCATCATTACATATAACCTAAGCTAACTCGACGCCATCATTACATATAACCTAATCTAACACGACGCCATCATTACATATAACCTAATCTAACACGACGCCATCATTACATATAACCTAAGCTAACACGACGCCATCATTACATATAACCTAATCTAACTCAACGCCATCATTACATATAACCTAAGCTAACTCAACGCCATCATTACATATAACCTAAGCTAACTCGCCGCCATCATTACATATAACCTAAGCTAACTCGACGCCATCATTACATATAACCTAAGCTAACTCGACGCCATCATTACATATAACCTAAGCTAACTCGACGCCATCATTACATATAACTAAAGCTAACTCGACGCCATCATTACATATAACTTAAGCTAACTCGACGCCATCATTACATATAACCTAAGCTAACGACGCCATCATTACATATAACCTAAGCTAACTCGACGCCATCATTACATATAACCTAAGCTAACGACGCCATCATTACATATAACCTAAGCTAACGACGCCATCATTACATATAACCTAAGCTAACTCGACGCCATCATTACATATAACCTAAGCTAACGACGCCATCATTACATATAACCTAAGCTAACGACGCCATCATTACATATAACCTAAGCTAACTCGACGCCATCATTACATATAACCTAAGCTAACGACGCCATCATTACATATAACCTAAGCTAACGACGCCATCATTACATATAACCTAAGCTAACTCGACGCCATCATTACATATAACCTAAGCTAACGACGCCATCATTACATATAACCTAAGCTAACGACGCCATCATTACATATAACCTAAGCTAACTCGACGCCGTCATTACATATAACCTAACCTAACACGACGCCATCATTACATATAACCTAAGCTAACTCGACGCCATCATTACATATAACCTAAGCTAACTCGCCGCCATCATTACATATAACCTAAGCTAACTCGACGCCATCATTACATATAACCTAAGCTAACGACGCCATCATTACATATAACCTAAGCTAACGACGCCATCATTACATATAACCTAAGCTAACGACGCCATCATTACATATAACCTAAGCTAACTCGCCGCCATCATTACATATAACCTAAGCTAACACGACGCCATCATTACATATAACCTAAGCTAACACGACGCCATCATTACATATAACCTAAGCTAACACGACGCCATCATTACATATAACCTAAGCTAACACGACGCCATCATTACATATAACCTTTGTCAACCCAGCATGCAGTTCATTGCCTGGAACCCGTGGGTCGAGCACGTGAGTTCATTACCGTCTGCTAGCCCCGGGGTCACCCATCACCCCCCTGTCTATTAGCAGCCAATTCCCGTCGTACCCGGTAGCCCCTGGTTACAAGAAGTTGCCGCTGTTTTCGTGCTACACGACAATGCACTTACTTTATGGAGTAGTTGACGTCAACACGCTGATGGTGTGTTTACATGTGTTGAGTGTGGGGGTGTGTGAGTGTATGCTTGAGGAAATGTGTGTATTTGTGAACATGAATGTGTGCGTGTGTGTGAGAGAGTGTATGTATGAGTCTCGGTTGTCGAGATTGTGCAAATGTGTATGTGTGTGTGTGTTTGTGAAAGTGAGTGATTGATGCGTGCTTTTGGGGAGATGTGTGTGTGGGGGTGGGGGTGGGTGGGAGGAGCGTGTGTGGATGTAGAAGAGAGCGCCAATATACACATTTGAAAAATTTGAAAAAAAGAAAATCTTCTGTGAATACCTATAACACATTGGTTAATGAAGTAATACGCCAATAAAAAAATGTGGAGAAGTCAAAGGTTAGTTAGTGCACCTCTTAACTACGGAAACACTGACACGATATAATCATGCCCCGTCTTTAGGGTCACTTATCGCTGAGGGGGTCAGCCAAAGGTCACTATAACATAAGCCAAGGCTCACCGTACCACAAGCTTTGGTCAGCCAAGGGTCACCATAACAAATGTCTTGGTCAGCTAAGGGTCACTGTACCATAAGCTGAGGTCAGCTAAGGTTCATCATAACAAAGGCTATTATAACACTATGCATCTGCTGGTCAAAACAAGCCGCTGATGAGGACAAGAGACACTTAGCGTTGAGTTAGTATTCAGCTCTACCTGACGTCTAGGCTAGGATATGTAAGCAGCGACTGTATCATGGGTAAGCCAGAGTATATTGAGCGTAACTTGACGGGATAGAAAGATGAGAAACACCTCGCTGAGACACATGCAAAAATCATAAACTGGTTAACCCCTTTTTGGGCGAGTTTACCCTTTCATCGCAAAGTGCTGCTTTAACTCTAGAGGGAGCTACATTACATTTCTGTGTGATTTGTGCTTGAAAATATGGTTTAAAAAGCAATAAAAAAAACGAAATATGCTTATAAAAAATATGAATATTTTAATATTGCATTTAGGTTGCTTTTTATTACTAGTAGGATAATTTCTGTTTACGACTTGGTTTTGTGGTAATAAAAGTAAAAATAAAAATAAAAACCGGAAGAAATAACGGTCTTATTGATATTTGAATGTTTAGCTTTAGATTTGAGGTTATAAAAACATATAAATCTGTCAGAAATAACTGTATTTGAATGTTTAGCTAATGCACGTATTCCGTTGTGTGGGTTCAAAAGTGAGTACTATCTGCACGAGGGTTGTGAGTGCGGATGTGTGTGGTCGTCTGCTGTCATTTTGCATGTGTCTGCGAGAGACTGGGAGACACGAGACGCGTCAGACACCGAGCCCTGAGAATGATCACCTTGCCAATAGCTGCTGGAGTCTTGTCGTATACCTGCATGGAAAAGGTTGGTAAAGTCCGCTTCCGAGTCCCACATCAGGAAGATGTAATCCATGGGGATGGAGCTGATGAGATCCAGGAAGAACCAGGTCTTCAGGTAGTGCTTGGCTATCCTTTTTGGATCCAGGATAATTTCATCGGCATAGTCGTTCAAGATTATCCCTGAAACAGGATATAAACAGGTTATCCGGGCGCTAGGAAAAGGAATAAAAATAAATGCATGGTTTGTTAAAGGCGATTTAAAAACAATAATAATGTGGAAACTATCATAAAAACCATCTTGAACTTCACGTTAGAAAACAGTCTCGAGATGTTCATGAAGGTATCGTTTAAATGAGCGTAAATACAATTGTAACAATTATTATAATCACACCCATAAGATTATCGGAAATATATTGTAAACATTAGTAAAATCACTACCATAAGATTATCGAAAATACTATTGTAAAAATTATGTTATCACTACTAGAAAGAATCTAATAAGGAGTTTCCTTAAGAAATCATACAAGTTAACACAAAATATATTGCCAAGACTTGTCAAGAGAACCATTTTGACTAATAAACTGAATAAACAGAACAGACAGTAACCAGGGCTAGGGTTATTTTTAGACTTCAACGACCTTTGACACTGAGACGACAGGAATGATTGGTTTCCCAGTAGACAACTAACTGTCGCCACCCTTACACATAACACCAGTAAACAACTAACTGTCGCCACCCTTACACACAACACCAGTAAACAAAACCCTGACTGCAGTCATTGCTACAAGGATTCGAACCAGACAGATAGGATGTAACATAACGAACCTAACGTAACTTCCTCACAGTTTATCTAGCAGACCACCACAAATTTTACCACCACAGATTGTGATGATTTAACACAAATTCCTCTCTACAAAAAACCACAGGATATCCGATTTTTTAAATTCTAAACATAAAACAACTTTTTGCTCAAAACAAAAATAAATTGAGGAATAAAAAACAACTGTCTCTTTTGAGGAACTACTATCTCAATTGTCCCAATCGATAAGTTTTTTTTCTTCAACAAAAGTTGAACGAAAAAAATCTAATCATTGCCAGATTTTTCACGTCGTTGAATGTCAAACTGTAATAGGAGAATTCCAAAGAAAAAAAAATGAATTTACACGTTGCCAGGGTGTCTTTAGGATGTGGGCTAAACTTGTTTCTCTCTCTTGAGCTTTAGACAACGATCCGATTCCTTTTATTCAACTCTTTTTCTTTGCAGGTTATACATTTTTCTTTCCGTGCATGAAGTAAGTTAAAATAAACAAATTAGTGATTCGATTTATTTTTCCTCCTATAGAAAATGCAAGGAAAATCAAACACGAGGACGCCATGGGCTTTTTTCCCCCGGTGAAATTATCAAATGAGAAACGCTTGTCCAGATTTTATCGAGGGCTCTGGTCAAAAACGGTTAGCATGGAGGAAAAAGTGGAGGATGAAAAGGATTTTTTCAAAGAAGTATCACAAGTTTCTGGAGCTGAGCTGGGAGAGGGGGTGGGGGGGGGGGAGTTTTGTTTTAGTTGAAATAAAAGGAGTCGGCGTTGAGTAATACGGAGAGTAACGTTTTATTTAGCCTTCACGTTTTGATATGCAAATGATATATATATATATATATATATATATATATATATATATATATATATATATATATATATATATATATATATATATATTGAAGTTGCTGATGCTTACACACATGTACTTAGGTTGATGATGTGTACCCTTCTATTTCTAAAGTTGATGTTGTGTACCACTTGTTCTAAAGTTAATGTTGTGTACCCACCTGTTCTGAAGTTGATGATGTGTACCCACCTGTTCTAAGATTGATGTTTTGCACCCACCTGTTCAAAAGTTGATGTTGTGCACCCACCTGTTCTAAGATTGATGATGTGTACCCACCTGTTCAAAAGTTGAAGTTGTGTACCCACCTGTTCTAAAGTTGATGTTGTGTACCCACCTGTTCTAAAGTTGATGTTGTGTACCCACCTGTTCTAAAGTTGATGTTGTGTACCCACCTGTTCTAAAGTTGATGTTGTGTACCCACCTGTTCTAAAGTTGATGTTGTGTACCCACCTGTTTTAAAGTTGATGTTGTGTACCCACCTGTTCTAAAGTTAATGTTGTGTACTCACCTGTCCTGAAGTTGATGTTGTGTACCCACCTGTTCTAAAGTTGATGTTGTGTACCCACCTGTTCTAAAGTTGATGTTGTGTACCCACCTGTTTTAAAGTTGATGTTGTGTACCCACCTGTTCTAAAGTTGATGTTGTGTACCCACCTGTTCTGAAATTGATATTGTGTACCCACCTGTTCTGAAGTTGTGTACCCACCTGTTCTGATGTGTTGTGTACCCACCTGTTCTGAAGTTGATGATGATATCGAGGAAGAAGACAGTGTCTGAGATACAGTTGAAGACGATCCACTGTGGGGTCAGGTCGTCCTTGAAGAACGAGATGGCCACTGGCAACACGATGAGGTTGGCTATCAGCAGTACCAGCATAAACAGGTCCCAGTAGAACCTGGGGAGATAATTCACTTGGGATATAGGGGGAGACAATTCACTTGAGATATAGAGGGAGACAATTCACTTGGGATATAGGGGGAGACAATTCACTTGAGATATAGAGGGAGACAATTCACTTGGGATATAGGGGGAGACAATTCACTTGGGATATAGAGGGAGACAATTCACTTGGGATATAGGGGGAGACAATTCACTTGGGATATAGAGGGAGACAATTCACTTAAGATATAGGGGGAGACAATTCACTTGAGATATAGAGGGAGACAATTCACTTGGGATATAGGGGGAGACAATTCACTTGGGATATAGAGGGAGACAATTCACTTAAGATATAGGGGGAGACAATTCACTTGAGATATAGAGGGAGACAATTCACTTGGGATATAGGGGGAGACAATTCACTTGGGATATAGAGGGAGACAATTCACTTGGGATATAGGGGGAGACAATTCACTTGGGATATAGAGGGGGCAATTCACTTGGGATATAGAGGGAGACAATTCACTTGAGATATAGGGGGAGACAATTCACTGGAGATATAGAGGGAGACAATTCACTTGGGATATAGAGGGAGACAATTCACTTGGGATATAGGGGGAGACAATTCACTTGGGATATAGAGGGGGCAATTCACTTGAGATATAGAGGGAGACAATTCACTTGGGATATAGGGGGAGACAATTCACTTGGGATATAGAGGGGGCAATTCACTTGGGATATAGAGGGAGACAATTCACTTAAGATATAGGGGGAGACAATTCACTGGAGATATAGAGGGAGACAATTCACTTGGGATATAGAGGGAGACAATTCACTTGGGATATAGGGGAGACAATTCACTTGGGATATAGAGGGGAGGCAATTCACTTGGGATATAGAGGGAGACAATTCACTTGGGATATAGAGGGAGACAATTCACTTTGGATTTAGAGGGAGGTAATTCACTTGAGATATAGAGGGAGACAATTCACTTGGGATATAGAGGGAGACAATTCACTTTGGATTTAGAGGGAGGTAATTCACTTGAGATATAGAGGGAGACAATTCACTTGGGATATAGAGGGAGGCAATTCACTTGGGATATAGAGGGAGACAATTCACTTGGGATATAGAGGGGAGGCAATTCACTTGGGATATAGAGGGAGACAATTCACTTGGGATATAGAGGGAGACAATTCATTTTTTATATAGAGGGAGGCAATTCACTTTTGATATATGCACACACATACACACTTACACATATTATATATATATATATATATATATATATATATATATATATATATATATATATATATATATAAAATTTACTTTAGATATAGAGTAGAGGGAGACAATTCACATGAGGTATAGAGGGAGATAATTCAATTTACAAACAGTTTCATTCATATAAATCTTAGGTACTTTATTGGTTTTAAAAGAAAAACATTGATTAATCTAAACTTTTGAACAAACCTTCAAAATGTTTTAAATAATTATTAATTATTTTATGTTTCTTGAAACAGTGATGCATTTAAAAAGTAAAAATGCAATATATACAAAATTATGTGCACATTTCATGGTTCAGATCCAATAACAACGAATAGCTAGAAGAATTTTAACGATTTAATCTGCATTAATTTTGGATGCCAGTAAACGATTTACGGAACATTAAACAATCGTCTACAGAACAAATGATTAATTTTTTTATGCATAACGCACAATAAAAGCGTGGAAAAGATTAGGATAAACCTTAAATGCAACATAATGCATTTGTTACTTGTCACCGGTATTTACAAAAAATAATAATTAAAAAAAAGGCGATTTTCTTCTATTCATGGAACAGTGTGTCGAGGTTATAGAGCGTATGGCTGCTTATTTAGAAGTCTCGAGTTTGGATCCTTGTACTCGAGTCAAATAGACGATACTAATACTATGTCTGATCAGCTTCTAACGAGTTTTAAGTATCGATCAAGGACTATCATTTTCTTTATTAAGCCTTGCTTAATGTATTGTTTTAAAGGCTATTAGAATAATCAGACTTAGGTAGGAAGGTATGAGGTGGTCTAAAGCTCTAGAGCTAAACAGCAACCTCTAGATGAACACTTACACTTGCTCTTACATGTGATGATTACAGAACAGAAAACATTACTTTAGCACTCAAGAAGCTTCAGCGAATTATCTCCCTTCAGAGCTGTTTTCGTTGTACATTAAAAAGTTGCACGGAACAGAGAGCTGGCATTATCAATAAATGATTTATACAGCATTTTTTTTTTTTTACATCAAATACCCCAAGGCTAGCTGGGTGATGTTTTTTGATTCAGAAATCAGAAAGGTTCGAACCCTGTTTGAAGGAGTTTTTTTTATACTTCTGGCTGACGAGATTTTGATATTTTTAGCTGATAGGAGTTTTTGATACTCCTAGCTGATAGGAGAGTTTAAAACCCTAACTTAGAAACAGGTTAACTTTACTTCTTCTCCCAAGAACCATCATGCTAAAAAAGGGAACTTTACTTCATTTAATTTTTTTTTAAGCTGACATGAGATATTGACATTTTTAGCTGACAGGAGGTTTCGATACTCCTAGCTGATAGGAGAGTTTAGAACGCTCAACTCAGAGTGAATTTAATTCACAATTTCAACGTTCTGTACTTGCTATATCAGCATTTTATTTCAGCCAATCCACAAACGTTGTTCAGCTTTCCTTTACACACAAAACCTAGTGTCCAGGACATTTTCTTTAGTGATACTACCCCCCTCCTCCCTCCTTTCAAACACTTAAGTTTATTTTATCCGTTTTTAAACCATTCACGGGTTTAAATTTAGTCGTGGGGAAATTCCTAATTAAAATCTTTCCCTAGAACATTTGTCCCGAAGAAATTAACACAAAAACGAGATCTGTTCCGGCTTCTTGAAAAACAATTAAAAAAAAATAATGTCCTCCATTTTGCGTCGAATTTCTCCAAGACGGGATCTTTCGCAAAGCCTGCCTCAGCTCGACGATAAAAAATGGGATTAAAAAGAGCAAGAGACAGACTGCGAAACGAAATAAAAACAAAGCAACTAATTAAGAGCTAACTGCGATAAATGATTAATTGCTCCACAACAGCCTTATTGACAAGGGGGATAATATCAGCCTCGATTGCAACCGAATCCTATTTTTAAATATTCCCATCTATCAAGAGTTAATTTGCACTTAGAGGAATCATGGGAGGCAATGCAGTAATTAGTGGTCGTACATTTGATATCTGACCTAACAGAGTTTGAACTGATGTTTAGTATTATAAGATTTTCGTAAAGAGATTGAGTTTCCCTGACTCAACGCTGAGTCACCCCAGCAGGGTCACGTGTATGTGACTCCGCCACGACAGGGGTGGTAACTCTAATCCCCTAACGTTTAAAAAAAAAAGTTAAAAAAAAATGTCGATTCGATTGTCGGCCTTGATAATGTTTTTATTTGGGAGCAATGGCCTTATTATTTAATCAATCAATGGTCAGCGGTTTAAAATTTGATCTTCTGGAAAACATAATTACAAACCAGAACACAACAGATTCAATCTTTGTTGTAAATATAAGACTATCTAAAAGGGGACATTAAAATTTAAAGTGTTCTAAAGCATTTATTTATCAGAAAATCGTTAAAATGAGTTTGCAAAGAAAATGTATAATTTAAAATACAGCTCTTTCTTGACCCCCAATGTAAGATTTACATCCACTTTTATCTAATTTACTAAACACTTTCAGATTGTTTAATCAAAATTAGTTTACCAAACTGTTTATTTTTTGTGCCGGGGATATTTTGAAACACATTTTCGATCAAATGTCAATCACGTTTACATTCTCATCTCAATCACTTTTACAATCATTTTCAATCACATTTTCAATCACATAACTTTTTACCTTAGTAAGCTTTACACTTTTTGCACACGTTATGGCGCCAGGGGACGCGACCCCTGCTCACTAATAACTCTACAACAATTATAAAACACCGCAACGATTTTTCTTCGACACTCCGGGAATTCCCTGAGACACAATTGCATCAGTTACTATTAATAGCCCGGCCAATTTCCGTAATGGCTTTAGCAGACTGAACACAACAATTCCCAATCCAACCAACGCCCTAAATACCATCAACACAATTGGAAGACCAGATCTATCGAATTCATTTCACGAAATTGTTTCCTCGATTAGGCCGATGGAAATAAATTAAAATGCGTTTCCGTGGTTACGAAATGACCTATAGAAAAATAGATGGTATTTAATTAGTGTATCAATTTGATAATACTTTTTTCCTTTAAAAAAAATAAAATAAAAATAAAATAAAATTATGTTAGAGTTGCTGGTTTAGACTAGATTAAAACATTTCAACCCACACCACCCCATCCCACACCAAAAAAGTTTTGCGAAAAACTTCATCAGGCAGCCATGTTGTGAGCTCGACTCAGCCGTACCCAGCACAGTCTCTCAGCCTATCGTGTGAAAAAGACAGTTGCTGCTAACGTAATCGAGTTGAACTCCAAGTTAATTAAAATAAATGTAATTTCCACTAAAAGCTTCTGTCTGGTCCTAGCGGTCATGTGATGAGGTAAACCTCTGGTGATTGGCTAATCTTTAACTAAACAAATAGAGTCTTTCATTACGTAACTAAACAAATAAAGTCTTTCATTACGTAACTAAACAAGTACAGTCTTTCATTACGTAACTAAACAAGTACAGTCTTTCATTACGTAACTAAACAAGTAGAGTCTTTCATTACGTAACTAAACAAGTACAGTCTTTCATTACGTAACTAAACAAGCAGAGTCTTTCATTACGTAACTAAACAAGCAGAGTCTTTCATTACGTAACTAAACAAGTAGTCTTTCATTACGTAACTAAATAAACGAGTACAGTCTATCATTACGTAACTAAACAAGTAGTCTTTCATTACGTAACTAAATAAACGAGTACAGTCTATCATTACGTAACTAAACAAGTACAGTCTATCATTACGTAACTAAACAAGTAGAGTCTTTC